TTGGGCAGAATTAGGGGTGTACACTTGGCAGGGAAGTTATCCACCCCTTGAGACAATCAAAATAGAAGCTGAAAAAGCAAATACGTGTGGTTCATTGAGCATGAGTCATGTATAGAGCTGCTTGTGAACCAAATCACTTTAAAATAACAAGATCAACCAACAACAGTCTAGGATTATGGTTTTTGCGGGAGCAGTTGATCTTTTATCAGACAATTTTAACACAGCTGTCCCTGGTAGGACAGCAAACTATTGAGTGTCGTTGTCGTTCTTTCACGCCTAAATTGGTCCGTTTTACGGCTTAAAAACGACAAATTTACCTTATGCTTCTGTGTGTCAAAAGGCAAAAGAGGCGGCTAGCGGGGATCGAACCGCTGCACTTTGTCGACTTGGGTTTCCACAGACAGGCACTGTATCCACTCAGCCACAGTGACTTCAGTGTGCTGAGACGTTTGCGCTCGCTCTCCTTGCAGGGCACGCTCAAGGCAGAATATTTCTAAATGTAAGAAGTGGACAAGGCTACGATTTGAGTTCGCACTCTGCAGAATATTTCTCGTGGAGTTGGTGGGAAAATGTGAGCTTGGCGCCGTTTGTGTATGCCTGCCAACTCCTTTGAGTGCACATATATCTTCACATCGAAATCAAATCGTAGCCTTGTCCACTACTTACATTTAGAAATATTCTGCCTTGAGCGTGCGCTGCAAGGAGAGCGAGCGCAAACGTCTCAGCACACTGTAGTCACTTTGGCCGAGTGGATACAGTGTGTGCCAGTCCGTGGAAACCCAAGTCGACGAAGTGCAGCGGGAGCGGTTCGATCCCCGCTATCCGCCTCTTTTGCCTTTTGACACACACAAGCATAAGGTAAATTTGTCGTTTTTTAGCCGTAAAACGGACCACTTTTAAGCGTGAAAGAACGACACCTTTAAATGCATTGCAACGATACGCAAGAAGTTCGCCTTCTTGTCGTTATCGCGCCCTAAATTGGTTCTTAAGTTACCGTTTTGTAGTCGTGATTCGTTTCGCAAACAACGACAAGAAGACGATCTTTTTTACCAACTTTTGTTCCACACGGGAAATCCAAATGCTCTTACCATCGACGAATGAAAGTCAACCAGCTCGAAAAGGCGAAAGAACCGGGCGAAAGAAATAATAAACTAATATTTTTTACAGTAGCAGACGGATCACGGCTTCTTGGCCATCTTGGTTTTCAAACAGTCGGCTGCGGCGCGGGAACAGCCGAACTCGTCGTCGGGA